TCTTGTCAATGTGGAAACTATATGGTTATCTGAAAATGATATTTTCATTATTAATTTTATGATTTTTTATAATTTTTATTGTAACTTACAATCGATTATTAATTACCACAAAAATGGTAATTTGCCTTAAAAAATTGTAACTAGAATTATAAAAATTGTATCATAATTCATAAAGTTATAGCTTGTAAAATTTAGAGGCACAGGAACGAATTCTTTGTTTTGGGGTACTATAATCTTCTCCATAAAAATTCATAGTACAAAAAATCACCTTGATATTAATCAAGTTACACATCATCTTGGAAACGAAATGCGGGTTTTGCTCCCTTTTAATTTTAGAAGAATTGAAGGATCTTTTAAAATTTTTAAATGATGATTTAAAAAGCTTCTTAAGTTTGTAAAATTTAAATTAATTTGAATATGTTGTTATATGAATCCTAACTATTTAAAATAAATTGAAAGATCGTGCGATTAATATGAAATTGGAGAGGAGCCTAACCTTGAAAAAGAGGTTTATCCATGACTCTACTAATAGATCGAATTCACATTTGTGTTAAGCAAAATTTTATTCGTTTTGAATATGATATAACTTCAATTTGATTATTCGATTAATTTCATTATCTTCAATTCAAGCTGATCTAAATTTTAGTAAATTATATTAAATTTCTTTTAAATATTTAATTATTTCAATTGAATCCGAATCGAATCGAATATATTTATATTTAAATTTGATTTCATAAAAAATTCAAAATTAAATTTGCATAAGAATTTAAGTTATCACTCAAAACAATCTATAACCAAATTATCATATATTTTTTCTGGTCACACAATTCATGCTGAAGTTTGTCCAAAGCCGCCCCTCGACAAGCAACAATCTTTCTAATTAAAATTTTCCAATTGAGGGGAAACTGACCAGAGTTGCAATGTACAAGAAAACATAACACTTCAGGTCCAATGCCGACCAATTCGTTTTTATTATACAGTTTCGTCTTCAAATACATTTTTGTATTGACAATTTTACTATTTTTAGCACGAATATCAAGAACGCAGCTAATCATAATTAATTACATATTGTTTGGGTCCAAAATATAAAATGTCAGGAATATTGAACATATTCACATTTGACATTATCAGATTTTTTACTGAAAAAGTGTCACGTGATAATAGAATCTGAATAAAGACGAGAGATAATCAATTGCAGTTACATTCGAAAAGGATGAAGTAAATAATTGAGAGTTATCGTTAGATAATTGTCGATGGAAGTAAAATCATTGATGAAAGCAAAACCATCAAAAGAGATAACTATAAAAAAGGCTTTTAATGAAAGAAACATAACACGTTTAATCCCACAAAAGACCCACGATCAGGGTAGTATTAGGAGTATTTTTAGGCTAGTTTAAGAGCAAAGTACTGATCAAGGTTGTTTTATTCAGTCTCTTGTACTTGAAGTCTTTTCAATTGAATTAATAAAATAATTCGCTTTTATTAGTTCTTTTGTTTTAATTTCATCTTTGCACAATAAAAATTTTCATTGTTTTTATCTAAAGAAGTCCTGAAACAACGCATTTGACTTCATTTCAAATAATTGCCGAAAATTATCTGTCGAATGGGAGATTTTTATTAATCCCAACAAAATTTGGAGTAACACATATTATAGTAGTTTATATTTTCATTGTGTAGACCGTAGAGTGTTAAACGTATCAAATTTACCCTCACTAGAAGATTATGGTCCAAGAAAAAAAATTAAAATAAAAATTAATATCTTATAGTCATTCTATTTTTTGTGAATTTTTTATATAACTGAGTTATTTATAACTTTTGTGATAATTTGGAATTGACCCCAAAACTATTAAGATTGAACTTAGATTTCAAATTACGACAAAAGTTATAAAATAACTTCAAAAAAATTATTTGAATCTTAAAAATTATAACATAACTTAAAGAAATTATTAATAAACCCAAAAATATGTATCTCAAACTACAAAATTTATAAAACGTAGTCTTCTGCAAACATTAAATATAAAGTGCAATCCATGGTAGGGGAAGCTGATAAGAGTTACTATATACAAAAAGAAACAAATTCCTTGAGGTGAGGTTGATGATGGCGACCATCACTGACGCTTTCTCCTACTTTTGTTGCAACTGGTTCACGGGATCCATTGGCCCCACTCTTGAATCAATCCAACAATGGTACAGATTCAAACTTAAACACTCAATCAAAAATACTGATAAAACACTTATAACTTGGTCAAACGCTTTCTAATTTATCATATTTTTAAAAATATTATTTTATTATCTAAAATATTACATACATCATTTTTAGTTTATATTTAAATATTACTAACAACCTCTATCATTAAAGTACCATTTTTAATAAAAAAATATTATCTAAAATACCAAAATTGTTTTTATATAAATTTCAAACAATCTTTTTACATAAAATTCGAGCCAATTAAAATTATTATTTTTACATATTAAAGTTCAAGCTACTTAATATTTTTTACATTTTAAAGTTTCAAGCCTATTAATTTTTTTTTTCCGCATTAAAATTTGAGTCGATTTGAGCTCAACTTGAGTTGTTAGCGGAGATTAAAATTCAATTCAAGTCGATTATAGTTTATATTTTTTTACTTATTAAAATTCGTGTCAATTAAAATTGATTTATGTTGATTAAAATTCATCTTTTACTTATTAAAATTTGAGTCGATTAAAATTAAATTTTTTTGTGTTAAAATTTAATATGAGTTGATTAAAATTTGATTCAAACTGATTAAAAACAAATTTTATTTGGATCGAATCGAATTTTAGTAGGCCCAAATTTTAATAAGTTAAAAAATTTATAAAATATAAGGGGTTTGATTGAATATATGTCTATTTAGAGAGGTGTCGATAAATTTTTTCTTAAAACATATTATGGACAATTTAATAAAATTGTATTCTAGTTAAGATCTTTAATTTGACAGAAAGTGTTAGTAAAGATTTAAAAACTAAATGAAATGTTTTTGAAGATATGATAAACTAGAAAGATATGTGATTAAAGTTTTTCCAATCGTATATTGTTATCCTTATCAAAAATTTTATCAAGTATTTCATCTCAAGTGACATGATACAATTTTTATCATTGAATTTAATGAGACTTATTTATTTGATGGTCAAAACTATACCATATAACTTGGAATAAGAAATTTGATAAAAAAATCTTGATCATCGTAATGTTATTGGTGTTAGAAATTCAACTGGTTAACTCGTTTATTATTCAAACATTTTAATTTTTTAGTTTTGTGTCTATTTTATATAAAGTTTCTTAGTTGTCCACCCTTGTAGAAAAATAGAACTAAAGTTTACTACCTAGAAACAATTCCAAGTTTGAGTTACCTAGAGTCGTCGACAATGAAAATAGTAAAGTAAAATAAAGTAATAAACTAATAAAAATTTCCCCTTTTTATATTGCAGTAGGAGAATAAAAAAAATTAGAAAAAAAGTCCCATTTTACCTTTGAAAAATACAAGAATTCTCAATTTTATTTCCTGAATGATTAATTTTTTCGCATTACTTTCTTAAAAAAAAAATGTTAAAATATGGTCTACCGTCTTTATTTTAGTTTGGTTGTCGGTCTATTTTGTGATTGTTGATTGATTAATTTGATACAAAACAGACATATAACTAAATAAAAATAAGACGATGAACCACATTACAACATTTTTTTTTAAACGAGCAATGTAAACAAATTAATTATTTAGAGATAAACTAAAAATTTTTATATCCTTAAAGAGCAAAATGTGATTTACCCTCATTTTTGTACCATATTTTAACCCATATGTAAAGATACAAAAAGGGGAAATTTTGTTTAACTGATGTATTACATTGAATATAACAAATATTATATAAATATTTACATTATATTGAACATTCAAATGATAAACTTGATTTTAAATTGTAGAGTATAACAAGTCTATCAAATAAAGGGTAGTATAAAATTATAATTTTATATAGAGATGAAATTATATTTTTTAACAATTATATTAATAGATATTAACAATAAGGGATTATGTGTTATACGTGTACAAACGTTAGGAAGGTATAAAAATAATAGTTTAAATGTGAGGGAGTCCAAATAATGAGAGAATTTATGTATAATTTATTTATTTAGTTTTAAACGACAAACTAACAGCTGTTAAATTAAAATTCAAATAATTTTTTAAGATGGAATTTATAATTAATTATTTTTATTTTTTGGCTTGTAATTCGAGAGAGGAAAACACAGGAAGGTTGGTTGGTGGGTTGGTTGGCCGGTAGAACCTCCGCATCTTTCATCTCAACCACCCACTTTCAGCAAAATAATTACTCATCCACATTGATCCGTGACCCACAACACTTGATCGTTAAGATTTTTTTTTTTTTTTTTTTTAAATTTTTTGGGAGCTCTGCAAATTTGACCGCAAAATGATCTGATGGTTCAGATTGTACCATCACAAGGGAAAGTCAAGAGGTTAGTACTGTCTTTATGAACACAGGAGTTTTTCCTAATGAATGAAGGGGTTGAAAATGTGGGTCCCAGTGTGATTAAAGAGAAAGAGGGTAATAGTGTGTAAAGAAACTGAGATTATCTCCTGAGTGCGTAAGGGGTGAGTTTGAGAGCTCTGTTTTCTTTTCTCTGCAACAGGATAAAGATAAAGAAACTAGTAGAGAGAGGGAGAGAATGGCAGTAGACACGTGATGAAAGGCAAATACATACAAGTATCTCAATTATGCTTGAATAAATCTTTCCTCTTCTTCCTCTCCGTTCTCTCTCCTTGGCTGGCCCTCTTTTTGTTTTAACGCAATCATTCATAGAACCATACACCCAGCACCGCCCCCACATCTCTCTTTCATCTTCTCAAAAACTAATTGATTTCACACTCTTCACAGCTGTCACTTTCTCGATCTATATAATATCAGTAACCCCACTACTTCTTCCTCCATTCTCTATGCACTCCAGCTATATGCAGTGGAGTAACACGAAAATGGAGAAATCTAACATATTTAGGCTTGTTATACTAGTTGCTGTGCTTCTGGGTCTCTGCCACGTGTCCGTGGCTGCGGTGACGAAGAAGAGGAATGAACAGAAGAAGACCTACATCGTCCACATTGCGAAATCCGAAATGCCTGCGAGTTTTGACGACCACACTCACTGGTACGAGTCGTCTTTGAAATCGGTCTCTGACTCAGCTGAAATGTTATATACTTACAACAACGTGGTCCATGGATTTTCCACGAGACTCACTGACCAAGAAGCTGAGTCACTCGTGGACCAACCTGGGATTCTCTCTGTATTGCCGGAGATGAAATACGAGCTCCACACCACTCGAACGCCTTCTTTTCTTGGACTCGACAAGAACGCTGATTTATTCCCCGAG